AAATATTCCAAAACATGGTTCCTGTTTGCAACAAGGCACTAAAGTAATACTGCAAAAAATGTAGCAAATCAATTAACTTTCTGTCCTGAATACGAAGTGTTATGTTTGGGGACAATCCAATACATGACATTACTGAGTACCACTCTCCATATTTTCAAGCATAGTGGTGGCTGCATCATGTTATGGGTATACTTATAATCGTTAAGGACTGGGGAGTGTTTCAGGATAAAAACAGGCGAAATCCTAGCGGAAATCTGGTTCAGTCTGGTTTCCACCAGACACTGGGAGATGAACTCACCTTTCAGCTGGACAATAACCTAAAACAGAAGGCCAAATCTACACTGGAGTTGCTTACCAGGAAGCAAGTTTTCTTTTAAATCCACAACTTGAATCCCTCCACAGCCTCATAGAGGATCTATATACATTTTCTAACCTCTCTGGATTACAACCAAATTATGACAAATGTACTATATTACGTATTGGATCACTAAAAAATTAAATATGTACATTACCATGTAGTTTACCAATAAAATGGTCTGATGGTGATGTGGATATACTTGGAATACATATCCCAAATGAAATAAATGATCTCACTTCAATACATTTTAATAGAAAGTTAGCAAAAATAGATAAGATCTTGCTACCAGGGAAAGGTAAATAATAATAATAATAATAATAATAATAATAATAATAATAATAAATACCTGTCTATTTGTGAAAAAATCACCCTGATTAACTCTTTAGTATTATCCCAGTTTACCTATTTGCTTATGGTCTTGCCTAAGCCTAGCGAACAGTTTATTAAATTATATGCAAAAAAAATAATCCATTTTATTTGGAACGGTAAACCAGACAAAATTAAACTGGCCTATTTATATACTGAATATGAATTCGGAGGACAGAAATGATTAAATATTAAATCATTAGACCTATCACTAAAAGCATCAGTCATACAAAAGTTATACTTAAATGCGAACTGGTTCTTTAGCAAATTAGTAAGATTGTCTCACCCCATGTTCAAGAATGGCCTTTTTCCCTTTATTCAGATTACAACCACTCACTTTCAGTTATTTGAAAAGGAAATAATCTCCCAAATATCCCTATTTCTAAAACAAGCCACAGAAAGTTGGTTGCAATTTCAATTTAATCCTCCAGAAATGACAGAACAAATAATGCAACAAATATTGTGGTTAAACTCATATATACTAATTGATAAAAAAAAAACAAGTTAAAAAAAAAGGAAAAAAAATGTATAATCTTCATAAATGATATCATAGGTAGGACTGGTGGAGTTATGTCGCACATGCAGCTAACAAAAACATGTGGAAATGTCTGCTCTACCCAAAATTACAAGCAAATAATTGCAGCATTACCGCAAAAATGGAAGAGGAAAGTGGAATGGGGAAAAAGTAAGGAACTTGTCTGTCGGCCCTGCATTAAAGAACATAATTGGTCAAAGAAAATTGTACCAGTTCCATTTAAGAAAAAAAAAAAACATACCAGTTTCATTTAAGGACCAAAGGATTGACAGCCGTCCCATATAGACTGCAAAATAGTTGGGAAGAGATTTTTGACTTACCGATTCCATGGCATAGTGTTTATGAACTGATACGCAAAACGACGCCGGATTCAAAACTTAGAATTTTTCAATTAAAATTATTATACAAAATTCTTGCTACCAATACAATGTTATTGATGTGGAGGATACATTTTTTTACATTTGACATTTTAGTCATTTTAGCAGACGCTCTTATCCAGAGCGACTTAAACGAACCCACACATAAGCTCTACCAACTGAGCTACATCCCTGCCGGCCATTCCCTCCCCTCCCCTGGGCCAATTGTGTGCCGCCCCATGGGTCTCCCGGTCGCGGCCGGCTACAACAGAGCCTGGATTCGAACCAGGATCTCTAGTGGCACAGCTAGCACTGCAATGCAGTGCCTTAGACCCCTGCGCCACTCAGGAGAATAGGGTACGAGTTATGGTTAATCTTCCCAGCTCTGCAGATTTTGCTGCGAAGAGACAGAATCATTAGATCATTTGTTTTGGTAGTGTCCATTTGTAGCTTGTTTTTGGTCACAGGTCCAGGAATGGCTGGAGGATTGCAATATTTACCTGGAACTAACCCTGCAGATAGCAATACTGGGTGATCTGAAAAGTCATAGTCAATCGATCAATAATGTAATAATACTTTTAGCAAAAATGTTTATTTTCAATTAACAATCTGTAGAAACAATGAGAAGGGTAACCCTAACCTTAACCATAACCCTTACCTAACCCTAACCTTAACCATAACCCTTACCTAACCCTAACCTTAACCATAACCCTTACCTAACCTTAACCTTAACCATAACCCTTACCTAACCCTAACCCTAACCTTAACCATAACCCTTACCTAACCCTAACCTTAACCATTTTAAATTTCAACTTCAATGGGGTCACGTCAGAGTTGGAGGTCCCAAAGATTCTAGATTGCAAGGACCTAATAGAAACTAAGGCTGAGCACATGACATGAAGGAGTTTAACTTTTCCATATCAATCATTAAATATTTTTCTGTAGTGTGTTTTTGTCAGTGAAAGATCCATGAGAGGAATGTATAACCCTGTGTGTGTGACAGGATAAGTCCTACACACACACACACACATAGCCCTTGGCTACAACACTTCTGTACCACTGGAGTCTCCCCAGACACTCACAAAACCAAGTGAGGAATACTTTTCATAGAAATCTACACACATCCATCTTACATTTGGACACGGTGTAGATTTGGATACAAATATCCATATGACATGTTTCGAGAAGAAAATAAAAAAATATATATCTTTCTTTGAGGAAACTGTACATTAACGGAAAGAGTGGAATGAAGCCCAGATCTGTTCAAACCGCAGATGCACTTATCTAATAAACTTGTCAATGAAGTGCTTGTTAGCCTGTAGAGATGTAATCGCTTTATAACAGCAGCCATGCGGGCAGCCCAGATCTCACACAGATTACTACATGACAAGATAGAGTACTGTCCTGGCAGGTAAACCTCCCATCTGACGGGTTTAATACAACTTCCCTTCATAAGGGGTAAGCCCGAGCCATATATCTCAGTGGGGGTGAGGTGTAGCTGGTGAGTGAATTCTACCATCACAGGGTAGTGTCTGGTGTTCTCCCACGGCCTGCAATTAGGTGTAAGAAAGGAACCAGATGTTATCAAAACTATTCACATCATGGTCATCATCCATGTATGAAACACATGATTAGAAGTGTCTTTGTGAGCTTATTTGCTGACGTCAAAGTGCCTCCCTCCAAGTCCCTTGAGCATGTGAAAATTATGACTAAAGATTGTCTGTTCCCTCTTGGATCAGGGTACCATGACGACACCAATAATGCTTATCAATTTTCACTGGACCAAACGACCATTCATTTCTAAATTCATAATGGCATGTCTTTAGTCTCATCAAGTACATATGTGCAACCTCAAGGTGGTTATGTTTGGAATATCTTTTTTATGTTACTTGTAAAAATAAGTCAAATCAATCAGTTCATCAATTGCATTGTATACATTTCTTTACACTTTTGACAGATTTTGCTGATTGAATTTTCATTTTATTTGGTACTAATATAAATAATAATAAACAACAAAACATCATACAATGTTGACAAACATAATATATAGGAACATAAAAACAGCATAAGCAAAAACAATGTTACGAACAAATAAATTACATTTCATGAACACATGAACTTATTCATGTTGAATGGACTCAAAAGAGGCAAGGTTGGTCAAAACAACAAGCCTTTGACATATTTTGCCTTGAATAATGTGAGTAAAGTGGCTAAACAATAACACCAAAACAAGATAACATACTTGGTTCATTTCAAAGTGTTTGACTTGCATTTGAAATGTCTATTTCGGTCAACAGCTTTCCTAGCATTAGACAACAGTATGAAAATGTATGCACTCACTAACTGTAAGTCGCTCTGGATAAGAGCGTCTGCTAAATGACTCAAATGTTTAAAAAAAAGTAAAACAACTATAGACATGAATGAACTAGAGAGCAGTGGTGTAATGAAAATAGCATATTGAATCTCCACCAGTGGAGGCTGCTGAGGGGAGGACGGCTCATAGTAATGTCTGGAACGGAGTAAATGAGATGTATCAATCACATCAAAGATGTGGTTTCCATGTGTTTGATACCATTCCATTTGCTCTGTTACAGCCATTATTATGAGCCGTCCTCCCCTCATCAGCCTCCACTGGTGGAGATTCAATATGCTCTTTTCATAACACTACTGCTTTCTACCTTGATGCTGTGCTGTTGGGACACTTGGCTGCGGGCTGCTCTTGAATGGATCAGTTGCAACTGCAATGCTCTGCCATTATAAAAACCAGAAAGACACCCAAGCTGGAAATTTGCATGCATTATAAAGTTATGAGTTTAACTTATTTGTGGTCATTGGGAATTGGGGTGGCATCTGATAATAAATCCTGAGTGTTAGGCCAATCGAATGTTTTGAGCAGTGTGTTCATTAGATCTTGAAGCATTTACCAATAAATAATTACATTCCGAGCTGTCAGACTTGGGGTCAAGCTCCATGGTGCTCTTCCCCCAGGGAAGACCCATCAAAAATATCACGTCAGTTAATGTAATACATTCTACAGTGATCATACAACATACAGGTAATTTATGATTGAATAGCCTAGATTATGCATTATGTATGCAACACACAAAATAATCAACCAATTCCAATACCTTCTTCCGTGGTGTTGCTCCAACTTTAGTCATGGAACTCCAAGATGGAGTTTTTGGGGCTTCGCTTTCCATTTCCTTTGACCCATCAAAAACATAATATCAGTTCATCTAAGGTATTATACAGTGATTATGCACAGGGATGAGAAACACTTTAGAGAGCCTTTGACCACAACATTTTAGAGAGCCTTTGACCATGATCACTTACATTCATGTTTGGAGTTACAGCAACTCTTTTGTCAGAGTTTTTGGATGGGGTTTCAGAGGCTTTCTGAGTTTTCGTATATCTGTGACTCTCCTTTGCCAAATGGAACAAAGGCATCTTGGCGAAAGAGCAACTTCTTTGGACTTTGGCTCAGGCAGCTAATTTGTAAATATAAAAAAGGAAAAACAACAGTTTTTGTCAAGACACTTTTAAACAACACAAACTGGTGTTCTGATGCTCAGATACCTGATTATCTACCTGTTTATCCTGTGTCTCCAGTTGCCTCCTTGTTTTCTGAGATGTCATCTCTTTTTTCAGGTCTTTAACCTCTTGTAGTAAGCTTTCCTACAACCCAACATGACTTCATGACTGAGTCAATAGACTACATCTGTCTCTATACACAGCTTTGTCAGCATGGTGCATGACATGGGACATGACACACTTACCCTCTCCTTCATTTCTTTCTCTAGTTGTTCCTTCAAACGACCATTCTCAATGTTCTGCTGTGACAGCTCCAATTCCTTTGGAAAAATCAGAAAAATATCCAAAAAGCAGAGCTATAACACCCTGCTGAAATACTCACAGTTAATACAATCTCATTTGTATTTCTATACTATCATCAGTGGAGGGGAAGACGGCACATAATAATGTCTGGAACAGAGCGAATGGAATGGCATCAAACCATGCCTTGATGAGAAGAAGAGAAAAGACATGGAGGCAACTGCTAATAAAACATCACTGGCATGATACCATTCCAATTTTTCCACTCCAGCCATTACCACGAGCCCATCCTCCCCAATGAAGGTGCCACCAACCTCCTGTGACTATCATGTATCATACTAGTGATGTTTTATTAGCAGTTGCCTCCATGTCTTTTCGCTTCTTCTCATCAAGCTCTGTATCTTTCTCTTCAACCATTTTGTCATACTGGTTCTGATACCAACAGAGAACAAAATGTTAACAAACACACATGGAGAGCATTCCATACAACATTCAAGATGGCAGCGGTGTTGGTGTAATCTGTGGATATCGACGAACAGATAACTTTACCTTGTGCTTTTCCATCAAGGCAACCATGTCTGCTATCTTGTTCTGACATTTTATTTCGGCATCTTCCTTACTGTTGATGGCCTTTGTAGCTGTAAGATGTAGCTTTGTTACCTGCAGGGATCAAGGTATGTAGTACGTATTCTGCCACATCTACCAGAAGCTGAAAATGTGCCATATTATTCACTTCCAATAAGCACCTTTTTCTGAAGCTCTGCCTCAGATGTTGATTTGGTTCCAAGGTCATCAAGCAATCTTTTACATTCCTCTTCATTTGACTGCTGAAGATTTTCTGACTCCTCTTTCAATGTGTTTATAAAAACAAACCAAAAAGCTGCATCACAACTGCATTAAAATGTTGCACTTTTCTTGTAAATTATCATTTAAAGCCATGGAGTACCTCATTTTCAAGTTCACTGGATTTTGCTGTCTCAATTGCAATTTGTTTTTACAAACAAGTAAATGAAAAACAAACAAGTAAATGAAAAACAAACAAGTAAATGAAAAACACGAGGTTAAAGAAAGCTGAAAGTGTTTATATACTGTATCAGTCATTTTTCATTCATTTTTTGAGTCAACAAAAAAGTATTTTTGTTATTCGTCCTGGACTTTAGTTTTACTCACTAATTTTATCTTCAGGTTGGATATCTAGAGGGAAAAACTAAGTATTTGATAAGATAATTAAAGACAAAATAATCAAAGTGTAGCCGATGACTTTCTTAATCACCTTTTTTGAGAGCTCAGCCTGCAGATCTCCACACTATAAAAAAGTACAAGAGAAAATAGTCAATTTTATTTATTATCACTTATCACTCAGTTTGAATATAGAATAAAACAGACGTGCATTTAAATTTGGACATTTACATTTACATGGCCATATCATTTTTTTGAAAAACTGTTTTAAACTGAGTTGATTTGCTTACACTTTATTCAAGTTTCTTCTGCAGAGTCTCAGTCTCTTGACCTTGCTCTTCAACTCTGACATTTAAGGATTTCAAGTCCTCTCTATGGTTAAGTAAAGGTGAATGATTTAGAAAAAATATTGCTGAATTGTATAATTACTATAATGTATAAACAATTAACTCTAACTGACTGTAATTGGTGGTTTTCTTCCTGGAGTTTTTCCATTTCCTTCTTCATCTTCATCTCTTTTGCCTCGCTCTCCTGAATGAGGGAAAAATATCCAGATTACAACATCATGAATTATCAACAAACTGCTAAAGTATTGTATACAAACAGCAACACATGTTCAATTAATACAGACCTTAAGTTGTGCTACAAGAATGGTTGCCTCTGAGGATTCATTCTGCATATGCTCCTGAATAGACTTCTTCTGAAGTTGCAGCTGATTGAAACTTGCTAATAGCTCTTCATACTTCACCATTGTGAAGAATTCACATTCAGCATTATTTAAATGGTGACTATCCCCTCAGGTTATTGTATAAGTGATATTTGAACATCAAAGGCCTCACTCATGCTGTACAATGGCTGTCTTTAGATTATCTTTCTCCTTGGTTGATTTTTAATCTCTTCTCATTGCAGCAGATAACTGCCACTCAATCTCTTGTATTTTCTCTGTGGGATAGAACATATGAATGATCTCTTTCCTGGACTCATGCATGTACAGGGGTCAAACAAAAAATGGAAACACAAATACGCATTGCAAATATTGTGCAAGGAAAATACAATTAATATAATCAAACCTCAGTCATATTGTCTTTTTCCTTCAAATCTGTTTGCATCATTTTAGCCTTTTCAAGGGCCTTTTCCAGTAAATTATTTTTAAACAAACATGGTTTGCACTTTATTCTAGAAGGGTACAACATATTCCAATAATAAAATATTATACAATTTAAGCAAAAAATATCCTTCTGACAATATCCTTCTGAATAAGTAGCGTGACAAATGTATCTACACAACGATTATCTGAATATCATCTCGCCTTGAATTGATGTGATGAAGGAGCCATGTCCACCAGTTTCGGACCCAGCTACTAGAGTCCGAAACTCCAAGGCGAAGTCCTTCGCAGTCCTCGTCCCCTGTCTCAGGTGGACCAGCCACTCGCCCGCCTATCGACCTTCGGGCGGGTGATCAAGCGTTGGCCCACTCCAGGGCTTTCCCCGAGAGGCAGGAGACGAGGGCGGACACCTTCTCCCACTCCAATGGGGCCGGCCTAATGCTGGAGAAGTAGAGCTCCAGTTGGAGGAGGAATCCCTGGCAGAGAGCAGCTGTCCCGTCCATCTCCCGTGGTCGGGATATATGGATCCCTCTGGGTGCTGGGGTGTGGGTGGCTGGATCCGGTTGCCCAGCTGGTCTCGACAGATCGGGTCCTTTCCTCTCCAGGCGTTGGACAACCTGGAGAACCCGATCCATCGCTTCTCCCAAGCTGGCTCCATTTTGGGTGGGTGATTCTGTAATGCGTGATTTGAAGGAGTCAGGCGCAGGGGGGTCAATCACAGTATACAGAGTTTATTCCGTAATCCAGCGTAACCAATCTGCACTTTGAAGACTTTCTAACAGGGATTATTGTTCTTGTTTGGAACTTTGAAGGGCTTCCTGATGTTGCTCTGTCAAAGGAAATAAAATGTTGATATGTTCTTGTTGTGAATCATGATATTATACAGGAATGATGCAGCTACCATGCTTAAAGTTTCACTTCCAGAATAATGCATGAAATGGATGTAAAAGTTCACTAAGGCCTATCCAGACGGGATTCGTTTTACTGGGGGATGTCGGGTAATGTAATTATGTGCACAAGACCAAAACACCACATCTGTAATTTTAGTCCCGTGCGAATCTGATATGTCAGTAATCTTTACATGGCAGGAGAGTAACAATTCCAGCCAGAATAACCTACAGTTTTTTGGCAAACTCCAAGGTCCTTTTATAATTCTAGTCAAATCAAATCAAATCAAATCAAATTGTATTGGTCACATGCGCCGAATACAACAGGTGCAGACATTACAGTGAAATGCTTACTTACAGCCCTTAACCAACAGTGAATTTATTTTAAACAAAAAAAAGTAAAAATAAAACAACAACAAAAAAAAGTGTTGAGAAAAAAAAAAAAGAGCAGAAGTAAAATAAAGTGACAGTAGGGAGGCTATATATACAGGGGGGGGGTACCGTTGCAGAGTCAATGTGCGGGGGCACCGGCTAGTTGAGGTAGTTGAGGTAATATGTACATGTGGGTAGAGTTAAAGTGACTATGCATAAATACTTAACAGAGTAGCAGCAGCGTAAAAAGGATGGGGTGGGGGGGCAGTGCAAATAGTCCGGGTAGCCATGATTAGTCCCGTGCGTATTGACATCCCTGTGTTTTCTGTGACATTACAGAGTTTGACAGTATCACTCACAGTTTGAGCAAGAAAACCGAACTGATTTGATCAATTGATGCTTAAAACAAAGTGCTGCACATATTGTATATTTCATATGAATGGCCTGCATTCATCAACTTTCAAAGTAAATACTTTTGTTTACACATTTTTTTGCCAGTAAATTGAAGTAGAAGAAAGCAAGTTTAATTAGGCCTAAATGTGCAATAAAAAAGTATTGTGGATATAGGCTTATTTAATGAAACCCTGGCTGTTGATGTAATAGGCAGGCAATGGATCAATAGATCTCAAAGCAGGGAATCCCTGATTCCTCACTGAACTAAGTTTGTTGGAAATGGCAAGTTCACTGTCTCATCCATTAACGGATCTCAAGTGCAAATAGGTATTCTGTTCAGCAGCTCAAATCAGCAGGATGGGGGGCATTTTTATTAGGAGGGACGTCTACCATATATTGCAAAAATAATGATTATACTTCCTCAATTTAAATATTATGGGAACACCCATAAATTTGGGAGCCAAGCACGAGTTATCAGTGCCTATTATCATCTATGTCAACAAAATGAAGGAGCTGATCGTGGACTTCAGGAGACAGCAGAGGGAGAATGCCCCCATCCACATCGACGGGGCCGCAGTGGAGAAGGCGAACAGCTTGAAGTTCCTCGGGATATACATCACTGACAATCTGAAATGGTCTACCCACAAGACAGTGTGGTGAAGAAGGCGCAACAGTGCCTCTCCAACCTCAGAAGGCTGAAGAAATTCGGCTTGGCCCCTAAGACCCTCACAAACTTTTACAGATGCACCATTGAGAGAGTCTCATCGGGCTGTATCACCGCCTGGTACGGCAACTGCACCGTTCGCAACCGCAGGGCTCTCCAGAGGGTGGTGCAATCAGCCCAACGCATCAGCGGGGGCACACTGCCTCCCTCCAGGACATCTACACCACCCGGTGTCACCGGAAGGCCAATAAGATCATCAAGGACCTCAGCCACCCGAGCCACGGCCTGTTCACCATGCTACCATCCAGAAGGCATGGTCAGTACAGGTGCATCAAAGCTGGGACAGAGAGACTGAAAAACTATCTCAAGGCCATCAGACTGTTAAATAGTCACCACTAGCCGACCTCCGCCCAGTACCCTGCCCTGAACTTTAGTCACTGTCACTAGCCGGCTACCATCCGGTTACTCAACCCTGCACCTTAATAATGGAACACTGATCACTTTAATAATGTTTACATACTATTTACTCACTTCATATGTATATACTGCATTCTAGTCAAGGTCTATCCTATTTAACTATTGCTGCACAAATACTATTCTATCCTACGTATTCTTCAGATATACTAGATATTCTATCCATATCCTGTCCATAGTGTCTCTACATCCCATCATATATACTGTCCTGTCAAAGTTTGGACACACCTATTCATTCATTATTTTTACTATTTTCTACATGGTAGAATAATAGTGAAGACATCAAAACTATGAAATAACACATATGGAATCATGTAGTAACCAAAAAAGTGTTAAACAAATCAAAATGTATTTTCAAAGTAGCCACCCTTTGCCTTGATGACAGCTTTGCACACTCTTGGCATTATCTCAACCAGCTTCATGAGGTAGTCACCTGGAATGCTTTTCCAACAGTATTGAAGGAGTTCGTACATATGCTGAGCACTTTTTGACTGCGTTTCCTTCACTCTGAGGTCCAACTCATTCCAAACCATCTCAATTGGGTTGAGGTCGGGTGATTGTGGACATCATGTCATCTGATGCAGCACTCCATCACTCTCCTTCTTGGTCAAATAGTAAAAATAAAGAAAACCCTGGAATGAGTAGGTGTGTCCAAACGTTTGACTGGTACTGTATATCCACTACCGGTCAACACCTACTCATTCAAGGTTTTTCTTTATTTTTACTATTTTCTACATTGTAGGTACACTTCAACTGTGAGAGACAGAATCTAAAACAAAAATCCAGAAAATCACATTGTATGATTTTTAAGTAATTAATTTGCATTTTATTGCATGACATAAATATTTGATCACCTACCAACCAGTAAGAATTCCGGCTCTCACAGACCTGTTAGTTTTTCTTTAAGAAGCCCTCCTGTTCTCCACTCATTACCTGTATTAACTGCACCTGTTTGAACTCGTTACCTGTATAAAAGACACCTGTCCACACACTCAATCAAACAGACTCCAACCTCTCCACAATGGCCAAGACCAGAGAGCTGTGTAAGGACATCAGGGATAAAATTGTATACCTGCACAAGGCTGGGATGGGCTACAGGACAATAGGCAAGCAGCTTGGTGAGAAGGCAACAACTGTTGGCGCAAATATTAGAAAATGGAAGAAGTTCAAGATGATGGTCAATCACCCTCGGTCTGGGGCACCATGCAAGATCTCACCTCGTGGGGCATCAATGATCATGAGGAAGGTGAGGGATCAGCCCAGAACTACACGGCAGGACCTGGTCAATGACCTGAAGAGAGCTGGGACCACAGTCTCAAAGAAAACCATTAGTAACACACTACGCCGTCATGGATTAAAATCCTGCAGCACACGCAAGGTCCCCCTGCTCAAGCCAGCGCATGTCCAGGCCCGTCTGAAGTTTGCCAATGACCATCTGGATGATCCAGAGGAGGAATGGGAGAAGGTCATGTGGTCTGATGAGACATAAATAGAGCTTTTTGGTCTAAACTCCACTCGCCGTGTTTGGAGGAAGAAGAAGGATGAGTACAACCCCAAGAACACCATCCCAACCGTGAAGCATGGAGGTGGAAACAACATTCTTTGGGGATGCTTTTCTGCAAAGGGGACAGGACGACTGCACCGTATTGAGGGGAGGATGGATGGGGCCATGTATTGCGAGATCTTGGCCAACAACCTCCTTCCCTCAGTAAGAGCATTGAAGATGGGTCGTGGCTGGGTCTTCCAGCATGACAACGACCCGAAACACACAGCCCGGGCAACTAAGGAGTGGCTCCGTAAGAAGCATCTCAAGGTCCTGGAGTGGCCTAGCCAGTCTCCAGACCTGAACCCAATAG